AAGGATTCATTTGAAGATGAGGGTGAAATAAAGGAGCAGCTCAACAGTGAAATGTGCACATTAGAGATCAAACAGGTAATTTTGGTCTCATGTGAACCAAAATAAGGATTCTGCTGCGGATTTTGGTGAGTTTGAATCCGTACAGCAACGGATTGATAACAGGAGGAACAACGAGAACGGCCACAGCAACAAAGTTCTGGAAGCTTTGAGGTAAATCTTTGGAGGCAAATCTCATGTGCATCAGATCCGACACCACGGTGACAAAAAGAGTGAGTAAAGAGATTAGATTGGGAACACACGTTTGCATGAACTTTACCCTGTCTTCTCTGGAGCGGATGCACGTTTGAATCAGATATATATATGTCCAAACAACGAACAACCAGTGGAAAATATAAATAGAGAGAGTAGTTAATGAAAATGCTTCATTTACAACCGTGTCCATGTCGGGGCAGGCCAGTTTCACAATCATCCAGTTGACACAGAAGAGCCTCTGAATGTTCGTATCACAGAACGTGAGTCGGGTCGTGAGCAGGATGTTAACAGAGAAAATGCAGAAAGGCATTAACCACGACAAACACACCAGCTCACACAGCCTCCTCTTCGTCATCACGACGTGGTACCGCAAGGGCCAACAAATGGCCAGGTAGCGGTCGTAAGCCATGGCGGCGAGGATGGAAGTGTCGCTGCAAACAAACGAGTACATCACAAATGCCTGGAAGAGACACCCGCCGTAGGAGATGACCTGAGAGGACGACAGCAGGTCGTTGAGGAACTTTGGGTAGAAACCTGCCGTCCCGTACAATCCATTAATGCAACACACACATAATAAAATGTACATGGGCTTGTGCAGGGTGTGGTCTGAGATAATGGTCAATACGAGTGAGACATTGATAAACAGGATCACACAGTAACACAGTAAAGTCACAGAGAAGACAGAGACTCTGTGATTCAGCGTCTCAGTGAACGCTGACAGAGTGAAAACTCTCACAGCAGAACCATTACGATCCATCACCTCATGGTGGAGGACAGACAGCAGCACAGAGGAGGCTCCTGTGCAGCATTCTGTCCTCCTCCAGCGCCACACTCTCTTCATATCTCGTGTGACTGACACCACTCAAGCACAGGGAGCTCTGATTGGGTGTGTGTGTGTGTGTGTGTGTGTGTGGTTGCATCAGAAACAACAGTGAGTTCATTCTCTGTCCAGAGGAGGCGACAGTACACACATGCAGATGTACTGATACTTTACTCCAGTAAAAGGGTAAAAGTACCGGCTCTTACATGTATAAAAGTAAAAGGTCTTTCTTGATCTCCCTGGAGGACTTTTGCCCATTTTACTTTTGTCATGTGTGAGAAGCACCAGTCTTCATGTTGGGAAGGTGTGCAATGATGCAAAAAAGAGTAATATGAATTCAAACTAAAGTAACAAGTCTGTTTTTAAAATGTTAGGAGCAGAAAGTTCAGATATTTGTGTAAAAATGTAAAAGTAAAAGTAAAAAGTTGTCAGAAAAATAAATACTCAGGGTATAGATACTTGAAAAAAGTAGTAGTGCAGTAACAAAGTATTTGTACTTCATTACTTCCCACATAGCAAGTTTCTGATAAATAAAAAAGATTATTGGAACCACGTTGATGGATATTCTGAATCTTAGTGATGTCAGTTAATATTGATATTGTATATTATAAAATATAATGGATTTAGTGCAACATGAAAAAGGTGTTTTTAGGAAAAGATTGTGAAATACGTGGTGTAAGTTAAAGGTCCAGTGTGTCACATTACTGTAATATAATATCCATAGGTGTGTTTTCATTAGTTCATTCCGTTACCTTATAATGAGACTTTTTATCTGCAGAGGGAGCGGGTCCTCTTCTGGCGTGGGTCCGCCATGTTCTTCCGTAGTTTCTCCTGCACAATTCACATCCCGTTCTCATTCCCAGGTGCTGGATGTCACTAAATCTTTCACACTGGTCCTTTAAGTAAGTTATATGTTATCTATAAACACAATGTTGTTTTCTGTAGAAGCATCGGACTGTAATCTTTACCTTAATCCCACCCTGACACACACAGAACAAGAATAGACACATTAATAAAACGTATTTAGTGCCCATTCCTATCAGCTGTGACAGTGCAGATACTTTAGTGATTAATAACAGTTTGCAGTTGTGTTATTACTTTATTACTTTGGTCTTCCCACATTCAAACTCATGGCCTTCACGTGCAGCAGCTGTAGAACAATGTCAGTCTGACCAGTAGATGGCAGCAGCAGCTTTGTTATCAGTCTCTGAGTATTGAACTGGACAACAGATATGAAACATCTCTGGTTTACAATCTAAACTAAACTATGAAAATAAGACAAAGTTATAATACCAATAATGGGGAATGGAGAGCAGGAACCTTTGAATACACACACAACAGTGAGTTTATGTGTCGATGTATGAAACACGTCCCCCAGCTTATTCCTCATTCCTCCGTTGAATTAAAGTAAAGGATCTGAGTACCTTTTCCAACACTGATTATATTATATTATATTATATTACATTACATTACATTACATTATATTACATTATATTACATTATATTACATTATATTATATTATATTACATTACATTACATTATATTATATTATATTACATTACAT